ATCTTCCTCCTTAAATAAGATTATTAGTCGCAAAGACCTATCTGAATCCATCTCTACTGCATGGCATTCAATTTTCTGGTAGTTGTGATGATACTAGCTTTAGAAAAATAAATGTAGTATTTAATAACATTGCACGACATGTATTTAAGCTGAGACCCCGTGACCATATATCTGAATACGCAAATAAAATTTATAATTTGGATTTTAAATCTGTAATAAAGCGCAAAACTTTGACAATGCTCCACAATATTATCCACACTAGGAAACCGTCGTACCTGTTTTCTGAGTTAAGCTTTACTTCATCTTAAAGAGCTAATGTTCTAATTGTAAGCCGAAATTGGTTGTCTAGTTCAGCAAATCACTTTTTTGTAAATTTTGCTCGTCTCTGGAATCAACTCCCGCACCACATAAAATCAATAAAAAGCGCCCAAACATACAAATTTAGCCTAACCGCACACTTTAACACAAACTCTATCTAACTTAACTGAATTTTAACGCAAATTTAAATCTATGTTAAATTGTATATCGAAAGAAATTGTAATTTAGAAAAGGAATATTGTAACTCCGTATCATAACACCACGTGACTAGCACATTAAACTAAGAGTTTAATTACTCGTAGTGCTAGGATGCAAAATAAATAAATAAATAAAAAGAGAAGAAAAGAAAAGAAAAGAAAAGAAAAGAAAGGAGCCTATGTGGGGTACCAGCTCTTTGTCGATTTATTAGTCGACAGCCGGTTTTTGAAAAGGAATCTCGATAATTAATGCATTGCGCTAAAAATAGAACTGCTTGCAATAAATTATGAGTTATTATTCATTGATTGATTTATTAGATACGTTGCCAAATAATGAGTCACTATGTCACTATGTCAATATGTCACTACATTTATTCATTGCTCATATATTTTTTTAATTATACGATTTTACGTAAGTGCGAACAAGACAAACGTATGACGATTCCAATGAGCAATGAACAATGAAAATTGACAGATCCCGATAGTAAAATACTAGACGGAATTGGGTAAAAAAATAACACTTAATAAAATACCACCGGGGCCGATACATCAATTGTACTTTTTAAATAAAATTTTGCTCATTCATTGAAGTTGACGACAAAACGGAACAAAAAAGCGAGGCTTAAATGTATACGAAATTTTTTTTACCATTTTAAAGTAACAACTGAAAACCTTTAAACGTTAAAATTAGCGGGATAAACACAATATAATAAACAAAACAATAAAGTTCGAATTTAACGGTAAAAAGGCAGTGTGCCCGTGAACTTATTACCAAAAAATCTCAAGCAGTATACATATAGTTGTTTCTGTCTCTGAGCTTCGATGAATCCGCCAATGAATGGAGGCGAACAATGAAAATGTCTTACCCGTATTATTATTCTAGATACATAGAAGTAAAATTTATACAGTCCGAAATTTTTAGTAGTCTGTTGGTATACAAAAAAGTTATGAACAGACAATGGCGGCAATATGTGAATATAAAGAATTGACCTCATTACAATCCCTACATATCAAGCTAATGGCGAGGTAGAAAATTTGAATAGGTCATTGGTAAAGCGGTTAAAAATGTTACTCCCCACGGTACTACGGGCTCTCCACCATCCGAGCTTGTATTCAACGGGGAGTTCAGGAAACAGTGGGAGAATATAAAGAGAGATACAAGGAGAAAACTAGGAGAGCCACCAAATCTAAAATACAACTGGGAGATAAAATATTGCGAGAGAACGTGATTTTTCCTAAAAAGTTAACTCCTTGTAACTCCTAGTGTATGAGGTAGTTCAGATATTTGAAAGCGTAGTGAAGGCTTTCTCCAACAAGTCATCATATTAATAAGAAGCTTTTAGGCTAAACGGAATCGATCAGTGCTTATCCGTACAGATGCCGTTAAACAACATTTTAAGCTGCCTTATACTAGTCCTTATGAAGTCATAAAACGACACACAGACAAAATTTGTATTATAAAAGTCAACAATAAAGCGACGGCAGTATCCGTAAATCGACTTAAGTCAGCCAATTAAACGGATGATAATTACATGAATTCAACAAATCAAGCGCTAGGTATCCGCACATATTCTAGGCAAATGAATCCACACGTGACGTCCTCACTGGAGGGGGACTGCTGTGATGCCCCGTATTATCCCTCTAGCGGAACCTAATAGAATTAAAATATATCGTAAGGCAAAAAGTTAAAGACAAGATAAATGCTATCTCAAACTCTCTCTCGTTCGGCAGCAAGTAGAATAGTCATCACGACGCTCTACTGATAAAATAAAAGATATTATTATAGATTAACAATCTTGGCATTATTGAAATGCCAAAATTAGGTGGCGCTACCAACGGAAAATGTACATTAACTCTAATAAGCTCTAAAATAATAGTCCGATTTGGAAGTTTTATTTATGAGTCGATAGTTATTTAATGAATAGAGCTTTATAACTGGCTCACCATATCTCATCGTAACAGTGGCCAAATCTATTAGGCAAATTGTAAGACGGATAGCCAGAGGGACATGTCTAGATCCTTTCGGACATTGCCTTTGATCAAGAATATATAAACTTTATATAGTCGAAAAAAAACTCCTTCTACATGTTACTTGTTTTTCATCGAATCAATGTACCCTTTAATTTTTTTGTATACAAATTTTACTTGATGTTTTGGGCAAGGGAGAACACTTAATCTAGTGTTTAAAAAACTGCAGTCGAAGTAGCAATAGTCGACAAATTTTTGCTTTTCGCTGCTTTGACTGCTTGCGACTTTTTAAAAAGAGCTTTTGCTTCTGCTCCTGAAAAAGCAGAAGTTGCAGTCGAAGAAAATTCAAAAATCTAAAAGCGACAAAAATCAAAAAGCAGTAACAGTCGCTTGTTTTCGTATCATTGCTTGCTGCTTTGCTGTTGCTTACAGTTATGAGTGTAAGTCAGAGCAGCGGCTGGAATCGTCTGTCGGAAGTCGTCGCAAGTCGCATTCGGGAAAATTATTGCATCCGACTGTTGGATGAGTTTGCTTTTTGTCGCTTTTGTTTTGTTTTAGCAGCGTAAGAAAATAAAGTAGCAAGCGGTAAGCGACATGCGCAATCGCTTAGGACAGAATGTTCTTGACCAGATATTGCTTATAAAATTAAATGCCAGCTTTTTGGACACTGCCATTGAAAAAAAATCAAAAAATTGAAAATAGTTTGCTTGCTAATTTTTTGACTTACGCTGCTGAATCGAAAGAAAAACGACAATTCGTAATCCTGAAATATTAAACCATTACTAAATTTCAACAAATATGAAACACAAAAAAAATTAGAAAACAGCGACGTTATAATTTTTTAAATTTTATGATTGTTCCAATGAGAGCTATATGATACATTCGCCCGACTTAAACAGACTTAAAACTGAAATTGATTGTCCCTTTGGCACCTCGTGCAATCCGGCTCGCATCGACTACCTGCAAAAGAAAGAAAACTTTCGGGAAAATTCTATGCAGATAGCTTTTACTAAGAGCCTAGTTTGCGTAGAAACGGACGGGCGGACGGGCGGACGGGCATACGGACGGATGGACGGATGGACGGATGGAAAGACGGACATGGCTAGATCGATGATGCTGATCAAGAATATATATATTTTATAGGGTCGGAAATGTCTCCTTCACTGCGTTGCATACTTCTGACTGAAATTATAATATCCTCTGCAAGGGTATAGAAAACGTACTTTGGTTTTAAATATCAATTTTAATCAAAAAAAATTAACTACAATTTGAGATGTTAAATGAGTCTGCCAAATTTCAAAAAGAGCGGTTCAGTAGTTTTCATTTTATTTTGGTGACCGCATTCAAAGATGCCATTTCGAGCAATACCCACTATAAATTGGAAGGCAGCACAATTGAAAAAATTGGAACAGGACGTTTTATAAATTAATTATACCTAGAATTATAAATATAAAAAAAATTAATTCAAGCGTTTTTACGGCGTGCAAAACGGCTTCTAACACACCCAAAAAATTCGATTTTTTCCTGTTTTCATGCCAATTTTAATACTTTTTTCAGTTCTGTTTAACCAACACTGTTAACATCGATAGCTTATTTCACTAGAAGTATATCATTCTCCAACCTTTCCATACAGTTTAAAAAAATTTCAAAAGCTGAAGTTCTGACAACATAATTTAATTATTAAAAAAATACACGCCTAAAAACCGAAAATAATTGGAATTTGGAAAAAATTGGATTTCCGGCCGATTGTTGAAGTTTATAGCTTGTTAGATTCGTAAATATACAATTTTCAAGATAAAGTGATAAAATTAACCGAAAATTTTTTCGAGCGTGTATTTCTTCAGAATTAATTTTTGTATTCGGAGCTTAGGTTTTTGCAATTTGTTCAAACTTTGTCGAGCTATTGCGTCTGTATTAGGAAACTTATCCTTATAGCATGTACAGGAAAGTAAAAATGTTATCTATTTCTAGAGAAACAAGCTTTAAGTTAAAATTGGCATGAAATATTTATACATAAAAAAAGAATGATACCATATGGACTTTGAATACCTTTTGTCTCATAACAAAAACTTTATATTTAAAATTCAAAATTCACACATCCTCAAATTAAGTCGTTTATCAAAATGTACTTAAAATAAGTTCATCCTCATTTTAAGAATTTATGTTCTCAATTTTGAACGTCGGAGTTTTCTCAGTGTACATTTTCGAGCCGCGATATCACAAATACCACGCGTATGAAATGAAAAATTATTATACAGGTATGCTAAGGTAAATCTAGATTAACATAACTTAATGCTAAGAGCTAATTTGAAAAATCTTTGCAAGAAAATTTATAATCTTTATTTTTTTGTCATTGCAAGTAAAAACATGTTTCAAAAATTTAAGGTCAATGTCAAACCGCAAACATTTAAATGCCACAGAGTACTAAGAGTACCTACGCATACTTACTGCTGTGCTTTTCTTGATTGTCCCTCAAATAAGCTATCCGTATTTTAAAATTGGTGCAATGTTTTGCAGAGTTACGACTACCACCTAAGTCGACCACGACTGCAACGCCTCACGTGCATACAACGGTTAAACCGCGTCGTAAGCAGCCACCCGCTCATAGCAAGGGACTGAACGAAGTGGTGCGTGCCAAGGAAAGCCATTTCTCAAATCAAATGCAGCAAGGGAACGACGTATACAGCAATGGAATTGGTGTGCTTCAGAGCGCTAAAAGTGTAAGTTCTGGTGGCGCTTTAGAAAGTGGAAACGGCAACGACATGATAAACGGAGCGGAAGGTAAGTTACGATTTAGAAAATTCCACAAGTACATACTCCAAAAGCAGTTGAAAATTAAGTCAGGCATTATCGGCACTTACAAACACACATATTTAATTCAACACACCACAGACAAAGTTGCAAAATACTTATTCTTTTGTACTTGTGTACATCAGGCAGCGCTTTAAGTTTCTTCACTCCTTTAAATAACTGTTTAGAGTTTTTTTACTTTTTATGAGCTTCAAAGTATCGAACGTAGTAAAAAAGGCATTTCCGACTCTATATAACATATATGTATAAATTAGAGTTCTCTTGAGTTGTGATTCAGCTTCAAGCTAGAGCTTAATCTGTTTGTCATGACTCATGAAACATAGGTCATAAAATCATGGAATCATCGAGTCTCAGATCCTGTCATGAGCTATAAGTTTGTTAACGCAGTTGAAACAGCTCGACTCGAGAAGCTTATAACAACAAAACAATCAATTCAATAAAATTCAAAATAAATAATAAATATTTCTGGTCAGGTAAATATCACAGACAAGTTCTTGTTAAATATATCTTCTCTCCCATAATTCAAATATTTAATACAAATTATTTAAAATAAGACTATTATTTTTTAAGTACTTGCAATTCTCAACTGAAGATAGTCAAACATATTCTTAAAGCCGGGAATAATTACCAGTAATAGCGAAAAAAAGATCCAGAAACTATTCACATAAGTTTGGTCACATACAATAAAGAGACTATTATTGATCTGAAATATTCGATACATTTTTAAGTATGTTAAAGAAAATGAAGTCGAAGTACGTCACAAAAATTAAGTATAATTATATAGAAAACATATCAAGATTTCATTGATCAGCTTTATTTTAATTCTCTGGCTGTGATATTATAACTTCAGTCAAATTTTTGCAACGCAGTAAAGATGACATTTTCAACCCTATAAAGTCGAGTCGATCTAGCCATGTTCGTCTGTCCATCCGTCTGTTCGTCCGTACGTTTCTACGCAAACTAGCCTTAGCTTAAGAGCCATATGGATACAAATTTGCAAACAAATTTATGTCTGTTGCAGTCGGCCTAATCTATATCATATAGCTCCCATACAAAATATTGGGAAAGAGTGAAATAAAATTATCTTTTATTTGTTTCTCAACATCTATCCATACATTCTGAGATGCATCAATTTTAGAAATACAGTATTATTCTTATACCCTTTACAAACAAAAACACCTCCTAACGAAGTAAAAAAAACGTGACGATCGCACTTTCAATGCCCAAAATTTCTGATATAAAGTTTTGTGGGGAAAAATTATTAAGCATTCAACTAAATAATTAAAGATTGTAAAATATTTTTATTTTTCGTCCCGCTCCAACCAATCTTTTTAACTACACAAAGATTTTTTATTGAAGCGTGCGGAATAAAAAATTTTAAAATGTGTATTTATGAATTTAGTTATAGCCTTGCACAGACGTGCAATTTTAAGGGATTTGCCGCTAAATTAGCTAGTTTTTCAAAAAGTCGTAGAAAAAACTTTTATTGTAACGACCTGCCCAACACAAATAAAAATTATTTCAGGACTTTAAAACAAAGTATCCAATTGGTTTCCTATCCGTTAGTCTTAATAGGTATAACCGAATTAAAACCGTAACCAAAACCGAAACCCGAAACGAAATAATTTGCTTTTGCCTAACCGAAAAAATAACCTAAATAAATAGCATTTGAAATAACCGTTACCAAAACCTTAACATTTGTATTGGCTCCGCTAAATGTTATTTTTATACCCTTGCAGAGGGTATTATAGAGCCGATCTAGCCATGTCCGTCTGTCCATCCGTCTGTCCGTCCGTTTCTACGCAAACTAGTCTCTCACTTTTAAAGCTATTTGCATGAAACTTTCCCAAAAGTTGTCTTTCTATTTCTATAAGTCGAATCGAGCCGGATCGGACGACTGTAGCATATAGCTCCCAAAGAAACAATTGGAAAAAAAACAAAAGAAAATATAACTTTGGTGTTTTTCAATTTTTTTTTAGTTCTTCGAGATAATGGTTAAATATTTCAGAATTACGGTTTAAATTTCATCAAAATCGGACGACTATAGCATATAGCTCCCATAGGAACAATAAATAAAAAAAATTGTAACTTTGGTGTTTTTTAATTATTTTTTTTGTTGTTCGACATATATAAATTTAAAAATATTAAATATTTCAGAAGCACTATTTAAATTTCATCAAAATCAGACGACTATATCACTTAGCTCCCATGGAAACAATAAAAATAAAAAAACAAGAAAGGAAGCAAACTTCGGCATATACCCTTGCAGCTATTGCAGAAATTAAATGTTCTTGAAAACATTAAAATTATGATTGACTTGCGTGTACACCCAGGAAAAAGTAGAACGAATAATTTTAGCACGAACGTTCATGAAAATCGGCCGAATTATTCTTAAAATTATTAGGACGAACGTGTACTGAATATGTACGGGTCATACTTGATAATAATATTTTAAAATGCTTTTTTTAATACATAGAGAAAACGATATTTTTCGCTTTATCCCTGCATATAGTGTTTGTAAATAATATCAAAATTATTAAAAACAGTAAACTCTATTAAAAACTATTAATTTAACAAAAAAACAAGAACTATTAATTTAAAACAAGAACATTTCGTAGGCCTAGGGGGTAAGTATCTTTGAACAATAAACATTGGGTAAGCTATTATTTGTTTTTTCAAACGTTCTGCTTTTATTTAAATTTTTATCTAGTTGACCTCAAAAGTATAGCTAATAAAAGCTATTTGGTTGCAAACAAATTGCTTCGAATTCGTATACGAGCGTAGTACACAGTAAATTGTGATGCCAGTGTGGCGCAACCGGCTTATGCGTCTACGAATCCAAAGACCTCGGTTCGAATCCCGGTTGGGTCGACTTGCAGTAAACAAAATAAGGTTTGCTTTTCTGTTTCCTTTCCATATCAATTTATCATATTCCCTTTCATTCTATTATCATATGGAGTCAAAGAGAAAAGAAAAAAAAAGAGAAAGAAACAAAAAAAAAATATTTTAAAAAACTTAAGTTAAGAAACTTTCATACTTGCATTAAGAATTTTTCGTACTCAAACCAATATCTTTCGCACTTTCTTCAAGCACTTTTGAGTACTTGGACAGATAACGTTCATTCTCAAATGTAGAACTTTGGGATTGAATAAATCGTATTTGAATATAGCCTTCCGTTCTTGAATCAAAAAAATTCGAATTTACCCTACTTTTGACATCGTTCGTTCTTGATTTGACATCGAAATTCTGGATTTATTCTATGAGTGTATGTATGTTTACATTGAAGCTATTCGAAGTTTATTTGATAGTTCCTACGGCAGCTATATGATATCGTTTATCGATTTTAATAAAATTTAAAGCGTAATTCTGAACTGTCAAATTATTTATTTATCATAAAGAATTTCTAAAAAAAATACAAAATAAAAAAGTTAAATTTAAAAAAAAAATGTTTAATATTTTTATTGTTTCTATGGGAGCTTGAAGTTATAGTCGTACGATTTTTATGAAATTTAAACCGTAGTTCTGAAATATTTAACCATTACTATATCTCGAAGAACTTAAAAAAATGAAAAAACAACAACGTTATATATTTTTATACCCTTGCAGAGGGAATTATAATTTCAGTCAGAAGTTTGCAACGCAGTGAAGGAGACATTTCCGACCCTATAAAGTATATATATTCTTGATGCGAGTCGTTCTAGCCATGTCCGTCTGTCCGTCCATGTGTCCGTCCAGCCGTCTGTCCGTCCGTCTGCCCGTCCGTCCGACTGTCCGTCCGTCTGTCCGTCCGTCTGTCTGTCCGTCCGTCTGTCCGTCCGTCCGTCTGTCCGTCCGTCTGTCCGTCCGTCCGTTTCTACGCAAACTAGTCCCTCAGTTTTAAAGCTATCTGCATGAAACTTTCCCAAAAGTTGTCTTTCTATTGAGATAGGATAAAAGTCGGAACGAGCCGGATCAGACGACTATAGCATATAGCTCCCATAAGAACAATCGGAAAAATAAATAAAAACAAGAAAGGAAGCAAACTTCGGCAAGCCGAAGTTTATATACCCTTGCAGCTATTGCAAAAATTAAATGTTCTTGAAATCATTAAAATTATCAATTAATTACGTATATGCTTAAATACATTGAAGATATATTATGATTTGCAGCATAATTATATGATATTATATATAATATATGACATATATATTATATGATATCATTTTTCTATTTTAATAAAATTAAAAGCGTAATTCTGAACTGTCAAATTATTAATAAGTCAAAAAGAATTAAAAAAAAAATAACAAAATAGAAAAGATACATTCACAAAAAACATTTTATTTTTATTGTTTCCATGGGAGCTATATGACATAGTAGTCCGATTTTGATGAAATTTATACCGTTATTCTGAAATATTTAACCATTACTATACGTCGAAGAACTAAAAAGATCTAAAATAATTATAAATAAAAGATTAAACTAAATTATACTAAATTAAAGAGATACTACCTGCAATAGAAAGACAACTTGTGGGAAAGTTTCATGCAGATAGCTTTAAAACTAAGAGAATAGTTTGCGTAGAAACGGACAGACGGACGAATAGACGGACATGCCTAGATCGACACTCCTAGTGATGGTGACCAAGAATATATATACTTTATATGGTCGGAGATGTCTGCTTCACTACGTTGCAAACTTCTGACTAATATTATAAAACCCTCTGCAAGGGTATAAAAACAGTAAAGTTATAATTTTTTTAAATTTATTTTACTGATTGTTCCTATGGGAGCTACATGCTATAGTCCGGCTAGATCGGACTTACATACTACCTGCAATAGAAAGACAACTTTTGGGAAAGTTTCATGCAGATAGCTTTAAAACTGAGAGACTAGTTTGCGTAGAAACGGACGGACAGATGAACGAACAGACGGACGGACAGACGGACATGGCTAGATCGACTCTCCTAGTGATGCTGATCAAGAATATATATA